AAGTTTATGAACGAAATAAAAAAACTCATGAAGATAATAGCACTTTTGTTGAACAAAAATTTTCAATAAATATTCTTGAAGTCTCTTGAAGGCCGTGGGGATCCGTTGCGCTGAACAAGTGACACCCTCTATCCGCAAAAGTTTCCACTAACTTAGCCGAGAAGCGGCGGTTCGCTTGCGGACTACAGGCCACGGAGTTCAGTTGTTTTCTTGAAGTTTCAGGATGACGTTCAGTGCAAACTCTTTGCTCCGACTGTTACCCGCTTCGCACTGGCTTTTTGCATGGTTTATTATTTAATCCTGAAGATATGGGCGACATATTCCTCTGAAACTTTGGTTGACTTTCAACGGACTACACGGCGTTTTATCCCAGAAGACAGAACTTTTCCTTCAAAATGCTTATTACTGCTCACCCAAACGAACATGTCAACGAATTTGTCGACTTGTTTAAAAAAAATGGTTCACTAATTTATAAAAACTGCAGTTTAACACATGTGTGACACATGTCACACGCCGAAACTTCACTGGTGACACAGGTTCTAGAATTTTCTGAATCATTAATGGCTTATAACAACTGTGAAAGAAAGAAAGAAAGAAAGAAAGAAAGAAAATATAGATGCGGTACGGACCAGAACAAAATATTTGGCCTAAGAGAGATTAAAGGACAATGAAAAATTTTGATGTCAAGTGACTTGGTGATCTATGCAGCTCGCCTAATAATCTGTTGTTCGATTAGTAAAATAACTAAAATTTCAGTGGGTTGTATAGATAGCTCGGGTAGAAGAAATAAGAAATTAACCTCGACCGTTATGTTATTGTGTTACGACGGATTCCAATAAAGAATTGTAAATAAGAAATTGGTTCCAGAATTGTTTAAAGAAAGTGACCGATTAGAAGACAGACTGAATGGGAGGATAATATTAAAATATATCTTATGTAAATAGATTGTGTTAATATGAACCAAAAAATTTCGGGTTCAATCGTGTTAAAACTTCCAATTCGGCTTCATTCAATGGCGAAGTCATGGGAACTGCTTTCGAAAACATTGACGTTATGAGGCATACCAGTTATAACAGAGTAGAGTTCCTCTTCAGGAGCCAATAATGGCTCATATGGTCTAAAACTCCCAATCTTTTATTGAACATAAGCATTCGTCACTTTGTTAATTACAATTCCTTGTTAGTTTCTTGCTTGGCTTATTCTATGACCCTAAAGACAGAGGAAATGTGTTTCTCCGAAAAGTCGATTGATATTTACCGGGCTATACGGCATTACATCCATTCACCACCTTGTTCGCAAGCTCCTGCACTGGCCCCTGTAATGAGCCTGGTGATTCCAGTCCGCATCATCCTGACTTATTTCTCCAAGGTCTATTTAATGTTACTTTTCCATCTACATCTAGTTCTCCCAAGTGATCACTTCGAGTCGGGTTTTCTGACTTGCAGTTTTATTAACTTCTCATGCTCCCCATGCGTGTCACATAACCCACCCACCTTATACTCATTGGTTTAATCACCGTAACAGTACAAATTATGAATCTCCTTAGCAGATCTAAATAATATTCTCCATCCTCGTGAGAAGAATTGATAATAGCCCTGAATAATGCCTTTCCTGTTATTGTTGCACTCCGTTGTAGCAAGACTAATTTGTGAGAAAGAAGGGGACGACTTTCTTGTTTCTTTCAATGCGCAGTATCATGTCACGTCATGTCCTCTGTGGTTAGAGGAAACCCCAAATGTAAAAGCCAACTTCGAATGAAATCGACAAAACAGTTTTCTGTACATGTCCAAACTTGACAGCAAACTTAAAGCACAACTCTAAAAAAGAGATAAGGTAAATTAAGACTTACTTTCGTTTGGTGGTTCTTATCTTCCCTATATGTTTCATTTACAAAAGGCAATTGACTTACTTAAAATTAAAATTCGCTTAGTGGGGCGTGGAGTCCAACTGGGTCCACTGGGCACAGCGGCCACAAACTGGCCTATTGTAGCCTGCCCCGGGTGATTACGATGATGGAGAATTTTGTGGAATGAAGATTGGCAGGGGAACCGAAGTACTCGGAGAAAACCTGCCCCAGCGCCACTTTGTCCACCACAAATCCCACTTGACCGGACCCGGGATTGAACGAGGCCCGCCGCGGTGGGAAGCTAGCAACTAACAGCTTGAGCTATGGCGCGGCCAATTGACATACTTACTGTCATAACTTTGATTCAATTTGATATTTCAAGACTTTATAACAGATTTCTTTCTTCAGATATGCAGCAAAATACCTTAGTGATAAACACGTTAATAAAATATTTGACATTTTCCACTGATATAAACAAAATTTCAAAAGTTGTCTCCACTCACGTCTACAGGCAGTGGTTGTCATTCGAATAACGGATGCTATTTTTTATTTTGAATATTATTGGCGTCGGTAGGTATCGAATTCGGGACTTTTTGAATCCTAGCCTAGTGACTGATGGACTAAACAACATAGAATATTTATGCCTGCTACGAAAGGAGAAGAAAGTGGAAGATGTCATAAAAGGAAATATTTCACACCTTGTATTTTTCGCTTAATACTTTGGATGATAAGCCAAGAATGAGATGGGCCGGACACATAGCACTTATAGGGTCGCCAAGAAACGTATATAAAATTAGAGCAAGAAAACGTCAAATGAACAGACAACTTGGAAGCGATACGAGTGAATGGGCAGATAACAGGCATACTTGACCTGATTGGCTCGGGATAGGGCAATGCTTAGTACTTTGTTACTACGGTAATAAACTTACAAGTGCATTAAGAAATGGGGATTTTTTGGTAAGACGAGCAATTATGAACTGTTCAGTGGAGACCCTGCCACAGAAGTAAAGTAACAGAAGAAAGTGTTGACGTCTGCAAAAAGTAACCACGCAAGAGCTGAAGCTTTCGAGGCGGCTAAAGTTAAAAGTCCCCTCGGGCTATCAACCGCGTCAATTGGTAAGAAAGTGACAGACACTTCATTGACCATGTCTGTCCCCACCATGGGGACACAGACGAACCCTGAAACTTCCGTCACTTTTTTAACCAGCTGCCATATCTGTCTAACGCTGTCGTCTATAATTAAAATATCGATTTATCGTATCTGTGGTCTATCCCCTCCTTATACGAGTAAGATCATTACATGGATATAAAGTATGGATATATAAAGCAATAATTTCGTCTACTTAGACTTGTAAGAAATCAACGTATATTTCAACAGCTATCTTAAAAACAAACAGAAATTCTTGCAACATCAGTACGTTACCGTGGAACAAGCTCATCCTCTTAGACCAGTGTTCCCCAAATGATGTTTCGCGAAGCGCCGGCGTTCCGCGAAGTGAAAATAAAGTTTCAGGGAGAAAATTTGTATCTTCGCATATAAGAATTTGATTAGGGGTTTCGTAAAAATAGTTTGAGTGCGAGATGGTTCGTGGCCGGATTAAATTGCGAAACAGCATTTCAGAAGCTGAATGCACAAATTTTCCGACCGTTGAACTGAAGGAGAATGGAGAGGGAGAGAACAGAGATGAAGAGGCAAAGCAGAGGGGAAATTAGTAGTAGATTAAAAATCAGGTGATGTGAGAAGCGGAAGGGGAGATTAAAGAGCAGAGAGAGGAGATAACAGAATAAAAGAAAATATGAGAAGAAGGAAGATGAGAACAGCAGGAAGAAGTGAGGGAAATTAAGAGAAGAATAATATGAGAAGAGGAAAAGATAATAAGATTTAAATGAGAAGACATAATTAAGTAGGGGGAAGAGACGAAGGTTGTAACGTATAATGATAAAAGAGAGATGACAGCAAAACACTTTTAAGAATGCCGTCTTCTTGGATATGGCGCCGTGTAGATCTTGTGTAAACCGACGTTTCGGAGGAACGTATCGCCTCCATCTTCATGGTAGAAAAATCCGCGAGCGACGAACCAGCGTGAGCAGGTGGCTGCAGCACAAGATCTACACGGCGCCACATCCCAGAAGACGGCATTCTTCACGGTCACCGCCGTGAAAACCTCAAATCCTACAACAGTAATCCGTTTTGNCACACAGAGCCTGTGACATTATGAGGATAAGTTCGATTGGCTTCCAATAGCAGACAACGTAATGTTCCTATACTGGGGTCCAGGAACTTATTAACATGACATGTCACTCTGAACACAACAGTCAACCAGTTCTTAGTTGCGATTTCTTGCGTACTTAACGACGGTAGAACTGTTATTCAGAATATGTAAGGAAGAAACAAAGAAAAACTTCAGTAAGAACCGCGATGAATTTCGCTCATAATAGCCTTTAAGCGAGATGTGAACCTAATACGTTCCGAATATGGCACGCGGTAACGTAGTTGGTTGAGGCACTCTGCTACAAGCCGGAAGGTCGCGGGTTCGAGTCCAGATGGGGTGGATTTTTTTTCAATTGATCTAGTCCTTCCAGCCGCACTATGGCCCTGGGGTCACTCAGCCTCTAACAGAAATGAGTACCAGGAATATTCTTGGAATGTGACAACCTTGCCGCCATCTTTGAGCCGATTGTCTAGAAAATGTGGGAACCTCAACATCTCACAACCCTAAGGGCCTCCAGGCCTGTTAGAGGGATAGCTTTACTTTCTTCTTTTACTTTATGTTCCGAATATAACTCCAGAGCATTACTGTTATGCCCCCTTGATCGCTAAGTTTCTTGGAGACCCTGAGAAATTGAACTCGTACTTTTTAGTTTATTATTTTATTCGCAAAATTATTGTAACAAATTTATTGTCTATAATAATCTACAGTTCTTTACATCTCTAGAAGTCTTATCACGACACAATACCATGAATGTCGAGGGCCTTCACCTTTACAGCTGAAGAAGAGTGATTCATATGTACGCTTTGAGCAGAGTGTGGGAAAAGCAGCGAACTAATTATAAGTGTTCTTAATAGTCCATGTGAAATGTATAGCGTGAAATAAACAGTTTTGTAAAACTAAGGAGCTTACAATAGAATTGTTCTTTAACGACATATACTCACATGGCATGAGAGACTTTCCACAGAACATATGTTGAAATCCTGGCCGAACTTCAGTGGCTCCCCTCCTTGCTTCAGACAATCGCCACTGGAACGAAACGAAACAATAATACGAACAAGTTCACGCAGGACAAAACACTTGTTTATATCTCATCCAGTTAGTTAGTTAGTAATGATAAAAAGTACTCCCATGATGTTTAATGAAACTGTTTAGCTCAAGACATTCTTCAAGAATCCTAAATATACCTGCAGTGGCATAAAAAAGATCAAAGTTGCACAATGGTATCAACAGAAACGTTGCAAAATTGTGCAAGAAAGAGAATCCCAAATAAAAAGTAAGACGGTATAACGAATTTTAAATTGTAGTTCATGGAACCTTACTGTCTAACAAAATTTAATTGCAAACTTATCACCTAAGCCAACGGTTCTCAAAATGTTGTGCTTGTAATCCGCTGCAATAGTTAAAAAAATGTCTAGACCCCATAAAGAGAAAGAAAATACATAGCGTAATTCTTAATAATCTTATAAACGAGCAATGATAAAATTTGTATCTGTGATTTGTGTAGGCCTCTTCTGAATAGATTAAAAATATAAGGAATCTCCAGAGGCAAGAGTTATGGGCCCCACAGCGAACTGTTTTTGTGCCCCTTGGCTATACAGGTACCCCACTATAACAGCAGCTCATCTAAGCCTTCAGTGTGACTCTGTGCAATGCAGTAGCTGTTTGTCGCCTTTTTGGAGGAACGTGCTGCATCCATCTTCAAGATAGCTGGAGGCAATAGGTTTCTCAGAAATACTAGAAATATCTGCCCGACTATGATGAGGTCATTGGATTTTTTCAATTTACTTAATCCTTCCGGTCGCACTAGGGCCATGGGGTCGACTCAGCCTCTAACAGAAATGAGTACCAGGAATGTTCATGGGTGAGGGTAAAGGGCGGTCGATGCGTAACGTTGGCAAATATCTGTGAGCCGACTGACTAGGAAATGTTGGAGCCTCGACGTCTCGGAATCTTGTGGGCTCTCACGGCATGTTACATGGAGAGCTTTACTTTTACCTTTATCTTCCAGACTAAACGGCGTCACACCGATCAGGTTGCTGTATTAGTGATGATCTAGCTTTGTATTCAGGAGGTTCTCGGTACGAAAATCGGCCGGGACACCGGCAATCTCAAGGGTTTTCGTGGTTTTCCTTAGTACCTTCAGGTAAATTCCAAGATAATATCTTGACTAGGCCAGGACAGGTGTCTTCCAAAATCTTTCCAATTTATCGTCTATAAATCCCGCACCATTCGAAGTTATACAGTTTATTCTGACATCGTTGTAAAATAAGCCCCAGAGTCCCATCTCGAAGGACCATTCTTCAGTCACATCCTGCAACCCTCCGGTCTCGTACTAAGTTGTATATAGCAAAACGCATCTAAGTAGCTAACTAAGCTAAGCAACTGCAGCAATGGTCAGCAGAATCCTGCCCGAGCAACGAGAATAAAAGTCCATTCGTCACAATATTGAAATAATATGAATAATACGACTTAGAGATTTTAGGATTTCAAGGTGTTGAACTGTGGTCATCGTTAGTCTCAACCGCACGGTGTAACTACACAGTATATGAATTAACTTCACAGTGCCACAGCATATAAATTTTGTCCTTCTGATAGGAAGTAGGCCTCCAAAAATTACGATGTATATTGTAATCAAAAAAAGAATACACAAAAATCTTGAATTAACCGGAACGCCTCTGAAGATTCGTTCATTCATTCATCAATGGCTCTACAGTCCATTGTTGGCCCCTGGCCTCTCCTTCAGCTTTTGTTATCTTGTAAGATTTGAGGCTTTCACGGCGGTGACTATGAAGAAAGCAGTCTTCTGGGATTTGGCACCTTGTATATGTGGTGTTAACCGACGTTCCTCCGAAACGTCGGTTAACACCACATATACACGGTGCCAAATCCCAGAAGACTGCTTTCTTTTGTTATCTTTCTTACACAGGCTGTAGGACTCCTTGGACCAGTGATCCGCCCGTCGCAAGGCCGCTACCTACATACAAAACAACACAGACACCAACATAGACATCCATGCTTTGAGTTCGATTCGAACCCCCGATCCAAGACAGTTCATGATTTAGACCACGCAGCCACTGTGATCGGTACGCTTCTCAAGATGGAGGTAATAAATTCTAGTGAAGCCGACTTTAGTGTCAGTTTACAGTTACTCTTAATACCTCGGAAATACCATTCAGAGTTCAAGATATTGCGTCAGAAATAATTATAATGCTACTTTTATAACTTTCTGAAATATTGAATCCTATGGATAGACGGTACGACTCCTTGGAAGGGGGATCAGCCCGTCGCAAGGCCGTTACTCATGCAGGGTAACACAAACACAAAATAAACGCAGACATTGATGCGTCGAGTGGGATTCGAAACCATGATTCCAGTATTCGCGCAGGCGAAGACATTTCGTGCCTCATACCGCTCTCTCACGGTGATCGGCAATTTTTCATATTTCCGATCGCAATTAATAAGAGCAAGGGATAATTTTTTACCCGTTAGAAATGTCTGAAAATTATTACCATAAAACAGACGGTCTTCAGTGGGAAATTTCGGGGAAGAACTTGGGAAGTACAAATGTTGTACATTCACCCTTACGGCACGCATCTAATTATGCAAATAGCGTTATTAATGAGGGGAAATTACTGTGGGGAAAGCTCAACAAACTCGTAAATCTAACGAGTGATGGTTGTTACATTGTTCCCTGAGGAAAATATAGTGAAGTAATTGCCATAAGCTATAATACAAAATGGCAGGTGAGTGACACGCTCTTTCGCAAAAACAGAACTACAGTGTTGCAATGCTACCAGATTGCTTCCACTTTAATCTGCCACATTAAGAATACTATGCAATCCATCACATTTTAATTCCGGATATAAATTGTTAACAATAATTTATTCCACTTACATTTCTCTTCGCTAAAAATGTGTTAACAATGTCCGAAGTGCAATGCTTCAGCAAGCAACTACTGCGACTTAGCAACTGCGCATATTAGCCGGCTGTCGCAAATTACTGATTGATTAATTAATCGCCTTAAAATCAGGCTCTAGCTTCGTGCAAAACTGTTGCTCGAGTCACAAGGGCTGTGGCATCGCTCAGGCGTTAGACGTTGGCTCGGGTTCACCGTGTAACCTCACTGAAGTTTTCTGATTGTTTTCCTCAGTTCTCGATTCTTGACGCAAATACGGGGAAGGAACTTACAATATGCTACGACTGCTTTCCTCCATATCCTTCCTAGTTCATTATTCACTAACATGTAATCATTCGACGAAATACGTGTATTGTCTGTGTTGCTGAGAGCGCAAGTAAATACGTAAATAACAAATGAACAAACCCAACAGCAGGCCTGTCCCGATTCCCTTAAAGCAAGTCCTAACGAGGCCGCGCTATAACTCAAGCGGTTAGTCGCTGGCTTCCCACCGCGGCTGCCCTGGTTCGATCCCGGTTCTGGTCAAGTGGGATTTGTGGTGGACAAAGTGGCGCTGAGCCGGTCACGGTAGCCGAGCTGTCTAAAGCATGTACTGTCTTCGCTCGCTTGGAAACCGGGATCGTGGATTCGAATCCCACTCAGGGCATGGATGTTTAGTTTGTGTGTTTTTCTGTGTTTGTGTACAGGTAGAGGCCTTGCGACGAGCTGATCACCCGCCCAAGGAGTCCTACCAAATGTGTAAGATCTAGAAAAACCGAAGTGAACGGAGAAGTTCATGGAGGTAGGCCTAGGCCCACTGGGGCTGTAGTGCCAAGGAAAAAAAGTGGCGCTGGGGAAAAAGGACACTTGAAAGACTTACACGTAAAGTGAGTAAGTAAAGGTATCCCTGTAACAGGCCGTGGAGGCCCATAGGGTTGTGAGATGTTGAGGTTCCCACATTTTCTAGACAATCGGCTCACAGATGGCGGTAAGGTTGTCAGTCCTACGCGCTGGCCGCCCTTTACCCCCAAGAGCATTCCAAGAATATTCCTGGTACTCATTTCTGTTAGAGGTTGAGTCGACCCCAGGACCATAGTGCGGCTGGAAGGATTAGGTCAATTGAAAAAATCCATTGACCTCATCGGGACTTGAACCCGCGACCTTCCGGCTTGTAGCATAGTGCCTCAACTAACCACGCTGCCGGGTGCCATAGACTTAAACGTAGGTTCGCGAATAATATTAAAATGAATCTTAGAGATATATAATGGTGTTTTATGGAGTGAATTGATCTGGATCAGTAGAGGGACCAGTGGAGGGCTTCTGTGAACACGGTATAAACCTTCAGGTTCCATGAAATGTTGGGAAATTTCTCAGTAGCTGCTCAACTGGCAATTTGTCAAGAAGAGTTCAGCTAAATGGAATTAATCTTAATCGCCGTGTTCCGTGTATGCAAATCTAAGAATGTATACCCATTCAACTGTTTATTGATAATCATTATGTGTTTCGGCTATCTAACTGGTCATCATCAGGTGATACAATTCTTACAAGTGTTTTAAATTGCAGCAATTTTAACTAATATATGGCCCATATTTACAGTCATTTCTGTCTACTACCTGTGCTGGATTCATTGATACAAATAATAAAATTATAAAATTGCTACGTTATAATGTAGATTAGGTAAAATTGATACCATAACCTTGAAGTAAAATTAGGCAAAATGTAGTCTGAGTTAGAAGCGCTATGAGGGTGTAGTCCCTTCTACCCCGTGTTAGCTCGTTCCCCGTGTTAGTTCGGTGTTGATTAACATCCGTGATACATGTGACGCTTTTGAATAAATAGATGGGTGTTCTATAGCCTACGGCCGCAACGTACCCTGAAGGTAGCACATAAGCTTACGGCTAGTGTGAATCACCACACTCAAGGACAAACATAGATAAGACTTGTCAGCTGACAGGTACAGTGCGTGGACCCGCCTGAAGACCACGCTTTTCTCGGGCCCTTATCTCCGTAACCGTTCAACTTTGGGCATAGGTGTTTTGGGTTTTATCGGCATACTTTAACACAAGGAAGACTCTCCCGAAGTCTGGCATATTCCTCCTGGGACCCCCTATATAAATCTCGGATATGAGCT